TATAATTTCCGTATATAAGTTATATACGGACAAATCCGTATATAAACCTAGCTACGACGGTATTATATACGGATTTTTGCCCGTATGTAATCCGTATATAAACACGTATTATATACGGATTTTGGGTCTTATATACGGAGTTTTGCTGTATGTAATACACTTTTTTCTTGTAGTGAACATTTATCAATACCACCAGATATTTTCTTCTTAACTCAAGGTAAAGCTTCTCACAAGGGGTTTTCAAATCATGTTCAAGGCTAAGGGTTCAAAGGATAGAACACATAGTGCTCTCTTTTGTGGGGCTAAAATCATGCATTTGGCTAATAAAAGGGTTACCAACAAATGGCCTTGATCATATGATGCAAACAAGCAATTGATTCAATCATAGAAAACCTGGGCAAAGTTATTCATACTTTCAAAGTAATAACATTCAATCATAAAAACTCTGGAGCTCAAAGCCTCACATATAAGCTCATTCACATTCCACATATACACATCCTGCTTAGTATCATAATCACAATCACAACATCATATATTTGTTCACAAAGCTTGTGAACCATCTGTATAAGCATATAATGTGCACAATCTCAACATCACTCAATATCAAAGCATCAAGCATTACTTATCAAACAACAATCATAAGCAAACCATCATAACAGACAAAGTTTCCAATTGAGTACATCAAACCCTATTCTACTAACAGAAGCAACTAAGTTTAGAATAAAACAGAAGATAAAACAAATCCTGCTCTAGTGCTGATAGCATCCATCAGTGAATGCTATCTCAGTTCCTCATCAACTCACGCTATCGTCAGAGTCTTCTTCCTCTCCTTCTTCTTGGATCCTATAGTCTTGATTCTTTTTGCCCGATGAGGAGGCCATCCCTACATCAAACATAATTCACAAAACCACAAGATACATTGTTAAGCATTAGTAAACCACAATGAAGAAATCAGCCCGTAACAGCAATGCTCTCACCAAACGCCAAACTTGAATGGAAACTTGATGCAAAAATGAATAGAAGAGAGGTTTTATGAAGGGGGAAGAAAAATAAAAATGAAGGGAACTCTTGGGAGATTGCTCGAGAGTGTGTGGGAGGAGTGAGATATGAAAATAGAGGCCAAAGTGTGACTTAGGGTATAAAAATATCCTAATGGGCTTGGGTTCCGCTAAGGGGCAACCTAAGTCCAATCTGCGATACCACCGCTCAGCAGCAGTTTGCCGCTCAGCGGCACTTTCATGTTGTGCTTTTCTTCTTCCTAGCTTAACCTAGGTGCCTTCTACTCATACCCCTCACTTGCTCCCTATAATTAAATTCTCAGATCACTCATGCATCCAATTCCCTATCATGCAACTAGAACAAAATCAACAATTAAAATAATGTCAATCAATTGGGTTTCGTCCTAGGTAGCGCTTGTTTAACGTCACGAGCCTGACCCAAAATCCTCCTGCATCTTCAGTAGATGCAAATCTTTCTTACCAACACCCATCAGTAGGTGTATACAAACATAGTATCCTTTAGTAGATACCTAACCACCTAACATCCTTCAGTAGATGCTATACCCAAAAATTTACAGAAGTAATGTCCAAGTTTATAAAAATTTACAAAACCAAAATAAAATCAAAAGAAAAATTGTCCTCAAATCACTGGAATGCCTTCCAGCAAGCGCTCTTTTAACGTCACTAGCTTGACCTAATAAAGCTCATGTTCCATCTTCATGGTTGATGTTCATATCACACCAACTCATCAACTGCTTCTGGTCCACTTTTCTGACTCTTCTGGAATGTGGAGACTCTATCTCTATCACCTCATTTTCTTTGTAGTCTTTCACAACCCACAACTTGTTTTTGAATTTCACAGGTTTACCAAGTTGGAGTCGTTCTTGCATCCAACCATCATAGACCTTTCTTCCTTTCCCAATCTTTTCTTCTTCTTGTACCTGAAACAAAAAACAATGTTTACCTTTGACATTTGGCTTTTCATCTTCAGGGCTAGTCATGAGTACATCTTGATATGTAGCTTTATGACTAGCTTCTTCCTCCTGCATCTGCCTTTCTTCTTTGAAGATGTCTACAACAACTCTTTCTTCTCGATCTTGGAACACCACTATGCCTTCATCCACATCAATGATGGCTTTGGCCATTTTCATAAACGGTCTTCCGAGAATAATGGGTATCCTGTCATCCTCCATCTCCATCACCACAAAGTCCACCAAGAACTGTAGTTTGCCTACACAAACTATAACATCCTCTGCTATACCATAGGGATTCTTTGAGGATCCATCTGCCATTAATAAATTCATCTGTATAGGCTTCACATCAAGATCACCAATCTGCTCAAGTAAGGAATAAGGCATCAAGTTAACACTTGATCCTAAATCAAGTAAAGCCTTCTTTATCCTTTTCTTCCCTATTGTGCATGGAATGGAGAAACCTCCTGGATCTTTTGCTTTTGGAGGGAATGACTTCTTTTTAACAACTTTATACTCCTTTGTCTCATCATCTCTACATCTTTTCTTTGTAGAGACTTCTTCCTCAGGCTTTGTATAAACTGCAATGTGCTGTAATATCTCCTTCCAAGGTACATCATTATCCAACATCTTGAATATTTCTGTAAAATCAAATTGTTTCACATGATCTATTAGAAAAGGAAGAATTTCTTCACTCTTTATCTCTCTTATCTCTTCTTTCTCTTTTCTCTCTTCTCTTTCTTTTTCTCTCTTTTTTCTCTCTTCTTTTTCTTTCTCTCTTTCTAACTCAACCATTTCAACATTTAAACTCACCAACACCTTACATTCTTCCCTGGGATTAACCTCAGTATTAGCCCCAAAGTTTTTGTCAGGCCTTTCTTCCAACTGCTTAGTAATTTGACTCATTTGCATCTCCAAGTTCTTAATAGCAGCTTCAGTGCTCTTTTGAGTGGATGCAGTCGCTTGTATGAATCCCCTCCCTTGCAAAGCGAATCAGCGTAAGAAAAGAGGGAAAGGGGAAAAGAAGAAGAATGTCCAACATGCCGCCGCAAACCACCACAAAGGCCGCTTGGTCGCGCCATCTCCACACCGTCGCCGCACCATCACCGCCGGAGTCGTCTCTGAGTTCCTGCGATACCCAGCCATACCCCGAAGAAAGAGAAAGGAAGAAATCTCTCTACGTTGCGGCTAAAGCAAAGGAATAGAAAAAGAAAGTGCTTCCAACGCTGAAATTCTTAATTCAACCAAAAGAAACAAACGTCGAGAACCCTGAGACTCACGTTGTCCAATTTGATTTCGATTTGGCAATTGCACAGGATAACAAGGCTTTCAACACTTAATTTAATTTGATTTTCTAACTTTGCCCTTACTTAAATAATATTTCCACTTTGTACACATAATTTTTTAATTCAAAAATTAAAAAAATACAATTGACACACGATTTTAATGCCACGTAAATTTAAACTACACTGTCATCATGCCACGTAACACCCTCTTTAACGATAGTTGATCAATTTGACGGCAAACCATTATTTGAGACGCCGAACAAGTCGGAGACCTATTTGAGATTCTAAACGAAAATAGGGACTTACCGAGACATTAAACCTATTATAATTTCTTTTAAAACAAGGATTAAAGTGTACCAAAGTTTTAAAAATAAACTAAATCTAAAACTTAATAAATGTTCACAAAAATGAATGAAAATTAATAAAAATTGTCATAAATATAACATCAGAAATGTTCACAAAAATAATAAAATATACGTTGGACAATTTCATAAACAATATTATTCTTGTGGGTAAAATGAAATAAAATTTTAATTTTGAAGCACGGTTATTGTGAATATTTTCTCATTAACAATCAGTAAAAAACCATCCTAATTTTCATTTTAAAACATTTATTACAAAAGCTGTTGAAATAAGTAATAACTAGTGCATTGAACTTTTTTCTAGTGTACTTATAATTAGTAAATAGTCTTGTAAGTGGAGTTTAGTGTTGCTAAAGTGGATTATAATCACGAGTCAATTTGTTCAATTGGATATAAAAATTACAAATTTTGGTAGGGATAAAAAATGAATTTGGTCCACTAAGAACTCAGTTCATCTGAGTTGAATCTTTGATCAACCAGATTAACTCACCAACCCACCCATAAATTTTAAATATTAAATTATATTAAAAAAATGAAAATCCTAAATGTTTTCATATATCAAATATATTTGGGTTGTATTGCATTTTTGTGATTTTGGATTATATTTGGAGTTTAACATAATTTTGGATTGTATTTGGATTAAACTTTAGTTAGATTTTAATTAGAAAAAAACTGTAATTTTTTTGGGATTAAATAAAAGAAAATTTGTAATTAAGTGAGTCAACTCGTTTAACTCACCAAGTCATGGTGGCGCGATGGTTTCTGCCATTTGTGTTTTGTTGTTACTACTTATGGATTTGTGTTTTTCTAGTTCATTTTTAGGTTGTGCAATTTACAGTGGCTAATTCTCGATTTGTGGCTACGTGAGAAACGTTGGTGATGGAAGATTTGGGCTTGCGGTGATTACTCGAGTTTGATGATGGGTTTTCGATTTTGAACTCACAATTAGGGATCTCTTCACGATTCATGGTCTCAGATGGGAAGATGGTTGTCAGTGGTAGTCTAAATGTTGGTGATTATGGAAGGAGAAGGATAATGGAAGAATTTTCTTAAATTTTTTATTAAATGTTTTATTTAAGAAAAATGTATTGGAGAATTGAAAGAGAAATGAAATAGTATGAAGTGTCTGTATTACTACTGACACTGCATTGATGTAGTTTTTATATACAGAACGTATACAAGGATTATCATAAAAGAAAAGAAAATATATTATAGAATAACAAAAATAACTGCCTTGACTTGTTACAACTAATACACCTCCTCAAGTCAAGCACTCATAAGATTCAACTCCAATCTTCTTCCTCAACCATTCAAACCTTTCAATCTTTATTGCTTTTGTGAAAACATCCGCTAGTTGTGCTTTAGTGTTGTAGTAAACCAATGCTATTCTTCCTTGTTTACCATGTCCCTAAGGAAGTGGTACTTTACCTCTATGTGCTTGCTCTTCCCATGGCTCACTGGATTTTTAGATAGATTTATGGCAGAAACATTATCTATCTTCAGCTCTAATGGAGCCTTCATAGGAATCATCAACTCCTTTAGTACTTCCTCAAGCCAAACCCCTTGACATGCTGCATAACTTCCTGCTATATATTCAACTTCACAACTGGATAATGCTACCATTGGCTGCTTCTTCGAACACCATGAAATAAGAGATCCATTTAGCATGAATATGTAGCTTGACATGTTCTTTCTTTCAACGCAATCACCACCATGATCAGAGTCCGTGAAACCAACAAGTTCCAAGCCTTCCACATCTGCCTTTTGCCTCCTAGGTTGAAACAATATTCCAAAATCTACAATGCCTTTGACATACCTTAACAACCTCTTGGTAGCAAGCATGTGTGACTTCTTTGGGTTGTTCATAAATCTACTTACCAAGCTCGCACTAAATGACAAGTCTGGTCTGCTATTGCACAGGAAACACAATGAGCCTACAATCTGTTTGAACATTGTCTCTTCAACATCCTCTTTAGTTTCATCTTTAATCAGCTTCATATTGACTTCAATTGGACTCCTTGCTAGATGTCGCAACCGGAATCGCGACAGGATGACGATCCAAAAA